ATGTAAATTTATGCCAAGTTGTGATTATAAATTCCAATTAGGGAAGAAAGATACATAGAAGATGGTGACTCCCATGGATTGAAATTCCTTGAGGAGAAGAGACTTGGAGGAAGAAGAAGAGTTGGGAGGGCGTGTGTAGACAAAGGTTGGATGACCCAAAGAAACGCTTGCCTTCACCATGTATTGGCCAAGGTACCCACTGCCACCAAATATCATAATCTTGCTCTTCTCCATGCTCTCTCACCACCACCTATTTCCTTATGTTTTCCTTCTTAGTTTGCTAATCCTTATATAGGAGAGATGTGGTTGACCACATATTAATTGGCCTCCCTATATTGCATGTTGGCATGCTGCATATTATTACTTTTTTTGCTCATTGAAAACGCGGTATGCAATTATATATTAGTTTTTGTTTTCCAAAATATCATGCCCGTTTTGTTTCACGTTTAATACGATATAATAACCAATGAATCAAAAGGTCTCTATAACATTTTCTGTTTCATTAAATGATCTTTCAAATTGAAATATTTGTTTTAAATACGTCTCTATCTCTCAACAACTCAAATTTCAATTCAAACTTGAATATTATTTTTAAAATTTTAAGAAGTTATAATTTAAAAATTCTAAAACCTTTAAAAATATACAATTTATTATCTAAAGTAAATCGCATAATCTAAATTTTGAGTTGAGATACATTTGATTATAATTAAAACAAATAAAATAAATATCAATAATCAATTGATCTAATAGGATGAAACATTAGATCCCCTAAGTAAGATCAGGGGTTTGAATTTTGACATTTGTGAATTGAACAAATTTGATTGGGAGGGTCGCCTTCACTTATGCAGTACATAATCTAAATTAGTTGATCAAGAGTACATCTGCGGAGAACAACAGTGGCTAGAACGGTCTGGTCGATGGAGTTTAGCTTTGAAGGTAGGAATGACAAACGGGCGGGTCGGGTGCGGATACCCCCTCCCCATACCTACCTAATATTTTTAATCTACCACCCGCCCACCACCCATGATGGGTAAAAATTTTCAAATCACACCCGCCCACGCGGGTACATTCTCAAATCCATCCCTACACCTACTACCCAACTAGAGACGTACTCGGCTAGACCCGCTTGACAGCTAGAGGTGTGCAAAAAAATCCGATCCAACCAATCCGATATGTTGATTCAATCCAAAAATTCGGATATCCGATCCGTTTTTCAATTTTCGGATAGTTCGGATCGGGTATCCGGAATTTTTTTGAATTATCGAATCGGATACAGATCGATAAAAAAACATGTCCGGATTATCCGAAAATCCGAAAAAAATTGGGCTATATTCGAAGACTAGAGGAGGTTTTTGCATAAGACGTGAGCACAGCTTATTCATCATGAGCTATTGCAGAAGAAGTCTGCAGTTAAGGCGTGGACACGCCTTATAAGTTCGTACAATCCTAAATTAGGGTTACGGATATATAAGAGAAAATGAGTTTAATGACGATTGAAAGACTATATGTAATCATTCTTATCTTAAAAAAGGAGTTTAAGGCGATAATAATTATAAATGCTAGATAGACACCTAAACAAATCCATTCTTTGAGTTGTAAAAATATTATGGACACAATTTTCTCTGAGTTATTTAATCAGTGACTCTTTGTTTATTGCTACACATGTTTCTAATTATATTAAAGTTTCACCTACCCAAAATTAAAACATTATTTTATCTCTTTCCCCACACCAACAACCAAAAAAGCTTATACAAATCTAAGCAAATGATCCAGGATGAGTAAAATATAGCTCGGTGTTTGGATCTTTACCTTTGCATTATCCCAATCCAGAAAAAGAAGATCAAATCTAAGTTGTATTGGTTTTGGGCTTTTTTTCAAGATGTTTTTGTTTTTCAATGCATGATTATACAAATTATAATGCATAAATTATTCATAATTTTCAAAATCAACAGAATGTGTGAATGCACTTAAATTCAGAAGAATACCAAAATCGATAATTCAATATACGTACATATAACATGTTTCTTAAAAATCAAAATCAATATACGAATGCTTTTAGATTCAGCAGAATATCAAAATCAAAATAACGGAGTATTAACTATTGGCCTTGTATCTTGAACAAAACTAAGTGGATTAGATATGAAAACCAAAGTATTCACCTTACGAAAAATTAAAGTGGCCACAAACAACTTCGATGCATCAAACAATATTGGGGAAGGTGATTTTGGATTTGTGTATAAGGTGACATACAACTCTACTACCCGCAGAGGAGACCATAGTAAAGAATAGGAAGAAGGCGTACATGAATGAGCTGGAGACCAAAGTTTGAAACTTAGAGAAGAACTACCAGAATTTTGGCGCAATAACCAGCAAGCAAAGCACGTAAAGGTTTGAAAGAAAAAATTGATTCATAAACTTATCCCTAATATTTGGTTAAATTATAAGTTATATCTTATACAATATTAAGAATTATAAATTAGACTCTAAAATTATACCTAAATTCATAATGATCCAAAATTTAATGGATATTTAGTGGGCGGACGGATACGGGACGAGTAAGGTCTCAAACCCATCAAAATACACTAAAGTTATACCCATCCCCGTCCCAATTAGAGCGGATACAGTGTAGAATCCAAAAAATTATACTCGTTTGTCATCCCTATTTGAAGGGGTAAAGATAATTTTGGTGCGTCTAGGTGATAAAATGAGAGAAAAACGTGGTTTTGGGCTTATATAATGGAGCAATTCAGTTAGGTTGGGCAGCCTGAACGGTTCAAGCGGTTTAGCTCAATCCAAGGGGGGACATGACCGCATGTTAGGCCTTTTTTGGCAAAATGGGCACGTGATCCTCCTTAGTTTTAGAAGTTTCTATTTTGTTCCTTAGATTCTCAAATTAGGTTATATTTTCTTGTAATTTGGCCCTATAATTTTATTTTAAATACAATGTCATCCATGTTTTTGGTTATTTTCTTAATTGATGTGTATTTTATTAATTTTGTTTGTTTTTATTCAATCATGGTTAATTAGTGGAGTTACTTTATTTTTAATAATGTTATGTAAAATTTGTGGTTTACCGGCATGCCATTTATATCATATTGAAAAGTATGATTGTCTCATATGCATAACTCGTTACATTTCATAATTAATTAAAAGGTAATATTTATTTATTTTAAACCATCAAAAAACACTATCCTAACTTACTTGGCAGTCCGATTCTGGTTATTCAAAATAAATATGTTATTACAGTTTTTGGGTCGATGACGGGTTTTTGAAAATATTGTAAAAATGAGAGTCTCCACCGATCATTTTTAAAGTGAGATTAGACCATATAAAAGCGAGTAATTTTAATAAAAAATTAATTTTACTAAAATATCAGTTTTGGTTTGCGAAATCAAAAAACAGGATGAGAGTCGATTACATGTAGGGAAAGATTAACATCCCACAACGTCCAAAATTGGTACTTAGTCGATTAACCATTATTTTAAAATTGGAAATTATGAGTCCCATGTTTTATTTAATTTATGATATGTTATGTATGTAAATTTGAAAAGGCTATCAATTTATTCGAAATTAACTATAGTCCTCCGTGGACAAAAACGAAGATTCTATCATCAATTCCTAATAAATAGATATTACCTCAAATTTTGAAATTATAGTATGAATTAAAAAGGGTATTAATTTATTTAGGAAATTCATGACAGTCTCCGTCGAGCAAAAACAAGGGTTATATCATAAATTCCTAATAAACTAACATTGCCTTACTTATTTTAAAATCAATGCAACACAATCAATCAAATAAATTATTGAACCTATCATTGAGGGAAGAAAAACCTAACCTAAAATTGAAGTTTTAATATTAATCCTAATAAATTTTACATTTTATTAAAAACCTCCTAATTATTCTAATTAAGGAATTAAACTAACCCATATAAAATTTAAGATTTTATCTAAGTCAAGAGTAAATTATTTATTATTCTAATTAAGGAATTAAACTAACCAATATAAAATTTAAGACTTTATTTAAGTCAAGAGTAAATTATTTATTAAAGATCTAATTGAACTAAATCTATGTCAAAACACTAATATTGATCTTAAATTAAATTTTAACAAATTTTATTATACTCGAATAATTAAAATAGAACCCAAACACATGTGAGAACTACTTTAAATTATTCCATAATTAATCTAAATGTGGACCTAATTAAAAGGAAATAAAACCTTAAAGGTTTAATCTAAAGCCAAATAACATAAATCTAGGACTAAGTTAAAAGAAAACAAAATTACAAACTGAAATTAGAACAACTAAAAAAATAAAAAAGGATTTTTAAAAAATCAAAGCTGAAGGCCAAGGCTTTAAGGGGCTGTTTGTTTGCCTTTTAATGAACATTCAGCGCGTTTGTTTCGTACCTCTGAATGATTCAGTGCTGACGAATTCTACAAAACAATGCTGAATAATTCAGTACAGAAATACATTCTGAATCATTCAGAGCCAGTTATCAAACAACATGTCACATTCAGAGCCAAACCATTCAGAGCTTCTGAATCATTCAGCATTTGAATCATTCAATATTTGAATCATTTATCGCTTAATTATTCTGAAGTAAACAAATAACCCCTAAATAAATAAAAGATGCAAATCGAAGCTATGGTTAATCTGCAAAATCAAATAAAACATCACATGAATCAAAATATATAGAAATAATGTGATTCATAAGTGGATAAATTAATAATGACACATGTCAGATAATAATTTTTTTTTTAATGATAGTTATAATTCAGATACTTAAAACTATAACATTGAAGATGTTAGACTTTTATTTTTAACGAAAAATTATTTAACACTAAAAATTAATTTTGATATAATTTAGATATTTACTTTTATATTAAAATTAATTAAAAATTAAAAATGTCTATGTCACCTGCAACTTTGGATTAGGCTAAAAATTTTTTTTAAAAAAAAGATAATAAGTTGAAAAAAAGAGAGGAAAGGACAAGGTTATAATCAGAGACAAATTTGAGTACACGCCTCTTCCCTTACAAGCAAACTCTTCGCTTTGATCAGAAGAGATAGAAATTTCAACTTGCAGTGCGAAACTTAAGCTTACAATTGAAAGGAGTGGAAAGCCCAGTGGTTTGGGTCTTTACCCTTTGCAACTCCGTGACTATGGCGATGCCCGATGCCGATGCCAATCACCTTATGGTTTGCCTTTGTTTTGGCTGGAGGTTTTAGCAGTGCAGAATCCAGTTACATTGAATACAACACTAGCCAGAGAATTATTCTTGGTAAAATCAATGTCCATTTGGTTCCACATTCACATGATGATGTTGGTTGGCTCAAGACTGTTGATCAGTATTACTTTGGGGGCAACAACTCTATTCGGGTACACTTACTTGCATGCTTTTTTTAACACTTGGTTCTTGCTCAATTGAGAACCGGAACTTGATTTCATGGTTCTTTCAACTTTCAACAGGGAGCTTGTGTTCAGAACGTCTTGGATTCTGTCATTTCAGCTTTATTAGAGGATAAAAATAGAAAATTCATCTATGTTGAGATGGTAATTTGTTTTTCCATATTTGAAGCCTTTCTGTTCTGGGTTTCCACTTCCTTTGCCCATGTAAATGTGATTGTTTTAGGATTTCGGTCATACGGTTCGATTTTTCAATTCAGGCTTTCTTTCAAAGGTGGTGGAGACAGCAGAGTAATGCTAAGAAGATTAAAGTTAAGGAGCTAGTCAACTCCGGTCAACTAGAGTTCATGTAATATGTTTTCAGTTTTTGCTCCCATTCTATTTTCCTTTAATTGCATTTTGGTAAACTGAAAAGAACTAATATTAGAAAACTATGATTGATTTATTATCTTGATAGCATCTACTATTTGTTTGACTGTGCTTAATTGCTAATTTTCTGCATATGCATTATGAGGCAACCCCACTTTTTTTGTTTATCAGTGCTTAATTGCTAATTTTCTGGATTTTTTCTTTTAGAAATGGCGGTATGTGTATGCATGATGAGGCAACCCCTCATTACATTGACTTGATTGATCAGACAACCTTAGGACACAAGTACATCAAGGATGAGTTTGATCAGATTCCTAGAGTTGGGTGGCAGATCGATCCTTTCGGGCATTCTGCTGTGCAAGCTTATTTGCTTGGTGCAGAGGTAAATATTTGTGTGCGTCTTCAATGGGATTATTTCTTTATATTTGGCTTATGGAATATGCTTTCATGGCTAGATATCATATTTGTAATGTTACTCATGATATAACAAATTTCTTTCTAATTTTCAAGTTGTAAGAGTGCTTCAATCTTAATTGCAGTTAGGGTTTGACTCTCTATTTTTTGCCCGAATTGATTATCAAGATAGAGCTAAGCGCCTAAAGGAAAGGACTCTTGAGGTAGTATGGCAGGGTTCTAAGTCCCTTGGTTCTTCCTCACAGGTTTGGGCCTTAAAATCTATAGCTCTCATTCCTTCCTCATTTTCTGATTATAAAACTGGATTCTATTTACTTCTTGACTGAAGTTTGTTATAGACATAGAGTGTCCATTTACTCCTTTTATTGATATATTTTGTTAATAGTTTAATTTTTCTCTTGACCTCATATTTTGATTTCACTTTCAGATATTTACTGGCATATTCCCCCGGCATTATGATCCTCCAGATGGTTTCACATTTGAGATAAATGATGTGTCTCCTCCCATTCAGGTAACCTTTTAAAAGGTTCAATTATCGCTTTGCTCTTTGCTTTTTTTTTTATCATGAATTTATTAATGTGATTTTTTTGACTGAAGGATGATGTACTCCTGTTTGACTATAATGTTCAAGAGCGGGTCAATGACTTCGTAGCTGCTGCACTGGCACAGGTAGGATATTGCAGATGCTATTTACTGATTTCCGTAAGAGCAAAGCGAACTCTGCTTCTCTCTGTGATTTCCATACGTGCAGTTTCTTAGTTAACAGTTATCTATGTTTTAGGCAAATGTAACGAGGACAAATCATATTATGTGGTGTATGGGGACAGATTTCCGTTATCAATATGCAAATTCATGGTTCAGACAGATGGACAAGTTCATTCATTATGTCAATCAGGTATTAATTTTAATGAATCTTCCTAAAGAGGAAGAAATATGAATGAATTAAGTGACAATCTTTCTTTCATTTTGACTTGTCTTTTTAATCATTTAGTCATGTGTTAATGTCTTTTTTCATGAGATTTGACATCTGATTCTGTCTTTAACCGCTATAGAATTCTGGTTGAATTCATATGTTATGAAACCTTCTTTCTTGTTTGGATAATTTATAGGATGGGCGGGTCAATGCCTTATACTCCACTCCTTCCATCTATACTGATGCAAAATATGCAGCAAATGAGCAGTGGCCGCTCAAGACTGATGATTTCTTTCCGTGAGTTTGATTTCAAAATTCTGGTATTGTTCTTATCAGGGTATCAAATAGCGTTCCGAAAACGTGATAGCGGCCGTGATATTGTGGTCGCGCCACCGTCCGAAACCGCTTTTCATGGTTTTTGCGGTGGGTCACGGATTCACACCAATCTCGGTTGATTGTGCCCGCAATTTAACGGGAAACGGACGATTGCGCCGATAACGGGACGCAACAACCGTTATTCACCCGTGATTCCAAGACAAAAACAAAAATCAACATTCCCTCTGCAATCAACCATTCAACCGTATACAAAAACAAAATTGGAGCTTAAGGGCAGGGACAAAACAGATTAACAGAGGCTATTAGTATTTAGTGAACGGTAGAATCAAATACCCATTACCCACACATCTTACCAAAAACCAACCGGAAAGGGGAAGAGTCGGAAAAACAAAGCCCAGTCAGTAGGAAGTCTTTGTCCGTCGAGCTTCGCCGCCGGTGAAGGAGTAGATCAAGCTTCCCGCTTACATTTAAGAAGGTAAAATCTTTTTTTTTTGCTGCTTAGCTTAGGAAGATTGAAGATGCAATCTTCACTCGGGGATTTTGGGTTTCGAATATACAATCTTCCATTAAGTGAAGAATGAAGAAGAGTGAAATGGATGAGGGTGAAACGAAGATTGAACTGGGGAATGGATGGGAAGAAAGAAACGAAGAACTGAAGAAGATAGTTTGAGAGAAATGGGAAGAACCGGCCGAATTACTTATATTAAAAAAAAGGAAAATAGGAAAAATTATTTCATGCACTAGTGATGAAAATTTGTTTTACAAGCTAGGTTCTAAAGAATCTAAACTTTTAATATTATCATATATTTTATTTAAGATTTATGAGTTAGCATTTTAGAATTTAATTCTTAATTCTTTTTAATCCTTTTTAATTCTTTAATTTAATTCTTAATTTAGATAGTAAAGTTTAATTTTCATTTAATTTAGTCCTAATTTTAGTAATCAAAATTTCAAATATTTAAATTTTAAACTTTTATTTTAATTCTATTTGATTTAATCATTTTATGTTCTTTAATTTATTTAGATTCCATTCAACTTCATTTTTTGTATTTCATTACATTTTTATTAACATGTTAAATTATTATAATTAAATAATAATTGAAGTTTAAAATTAAATTATATTTTTGTTTAACTTTACGTATATATTAAGTTGTGCAAAATTTAAAAAAATTCACGACCACGACACCCTCAGTGAACACGATGGCATCCGTTATGTCCGCAACCGCGATAAACGCGATACGACCGAAAACGTGACCGCGAACGTTATTTAAAACCCTGGTTCTTTTATATAAGTCTGTGATGCTGCTAAAGCATATCATCACTTTTAGGTATGCAGATAAACCAAACGCATATTGGACGGGTTACTTTACAAGCCGGCCAGCCTTTAAAGGTTATGTCAGAATGCTGAGTGCTTACTATCTGGTAAGTCACTTTCTAGAAATGTAGCTTTGGACTTTATAGGTAGATTCTCGCTGCCTGTTTAAGGAAGAGTTTTTGCTTTCTTTCTATTATTAACAGGCTGCTAGGCAGTTGGAATTCTTTAAAGGTAGGAGTGCTTCAGGACCAACCATAGATGCATTAGCTGATGCTTTGGCAATTGCTCAACATCATGATGCAGTTAGTGGCACTCAAAGACAGCATGTAGCTGCTGACTATGCATTACGATTGTCAATGGGATACAATGAGGTTTATATGGCTTAATGTCCAACAATGTTTTAGTAACTATGCCATCACACAGCTTTATGGAAATCTAATATTTTTCACTTTATTTTTAGGCTGAGAATCTGGTTGCCTCTTCACTTGCCTTCTTGGCAGAGTCGAGGTCAAGTATTGGCCCAGGGAACAGTGTTACAAGTTTGCAGCAGGTATGCAATATCATTTGTATTAGTCATATGCTATTTTCGAAGTTTGAGTAGCATGTTGAAACTAAAATTGAAATATAGAATGCACATACTTATTTCTTATTCCCTTTCTTCTCGAGCGAGTTTGCATTTTTTTTTCTATTATTGAGTTTGAAGACTTTTTTGATTAATCTTTTTTTTTGACAATTTTTTTGCTAGTGTCCTTTACTTAATATAAGTTTTTGTCCTCCATCAGAAGCTGCCTTGTCCAATGGGAAAAACTTGGTAATGATTTACTGTTTCTGAGTTGGATCCTTTTCTTTCATGGCAATTGATCAACTAATATTTTTTCTCGTCAAAAAAAAAATCAACTAATATTTTGTCTCCAATGTAGGTTGTCATTATCTACAATTCTCTAGGATGGAAGAGAGAGGAAACTGTAAGAATTCCCGTGAGTACTCCCTTCTTGGCCTTTTTATCATGTGATGAAACAGTTTGACCTCTCTAAATTTTCATATTGTGGTACTTCAACAACAATAGAGTGAACAAATGATACAAGCTGCATTCTCAAAATCCATATCCAATCTGAGACGAGGACACAACGAGGAATTGCAATTTCGCATATTCCTAATATTAATAATATTATATAGAATCTAACTGTAATAGTTTAGAACATGGAAATTTTACTTGATTTTCAGCGAGATTACATCTGTGACAGGTCTCCAGTGAAAGGGTTATTGTCAGGGATTCTGCAGGGAGAGAAATTGAATCACAACTTCTCCCTATTTCAAATTCCATTTCACGCATAACAAGTCATTATGTCAAAGCATATTTGGGAAGAAACCCAAGTGAAACAGTTAAATATTGGGTTTCTTTTTCAGTTTCAGTGCCTCCTCTTGGTTTCAGCACTTATATTATAGCACCTACTAAAGAGACAGGTTGACATTTTTGCTTCAATTTTTTACAATGTGTCAATAAAGTGGAAGATTTTGACATAAGTTTAAAATTTCAGAAGGCCCTAGCTCTACAATCTCAACTGTGCATACTTATGAAGCAAGTGATAACAATACCATTGAAGTTGGCCAAGGAAGTTTAAAGCTTCTTTACTCAGCAGATGAAGGAAAACTTATGCGTTATGTTAATGCCAAAAATTTGGTAAGCTATGCTATCTAATTTGAGTTTGGTTGTTCCTCTTTGATTATTATTATTGGATTTTTTTCATTTATTATCCTTCAAATTTCTTTCAGTACATTGTGCTTCATATTTTATTTGGATTCTCTTTATTCTTTGTAATTTTTTTTCTTGTGTTATAAAAATAATGTTATTTAAAAACAGTTTGTAATCTAATTTCATCATTACTGAAGGTTACAGCCTTTGCTGAACAATCCTATGGTTATTACTCTGGAAATGATGGAACTGATAAAGATCCTCAGGTAATTTAATTTCTTGATAATGCTGCTTAATGTTTTGACTTCGCATTTCTATTTTATTTTCGTTCTTTCATTAAGTTTGTAGTAGAATTAAAAGAGTTACCGTATGATTTACTAATTGCAAAATACTTGATATTTGTTAAAGGCTTCTGGGGCATATGTTTTTCGTCCAAATGGTACATTCTCCATAAAATCTGAAAACCAGGTAGCTGTTTTTATTTGAACAAATTTGATGTCTATCAGTAACCTTTACAATTGATTTATTATACTTATCCAAAAAGAGGATCTGAAGAAAAATGGATTTGTTTGTTGAAGACTCGATTAACTGTTGTGCGGGGTCCCTTGTTGGATGAAGTACATCAACAGCTGAATTCATGGATATCTCAGGTGATTCACCTATTTCTGATTCTTGCATCTGAAAGTTAGTTCATAAGTTTCTAAAGCTTCGGGTTGTAGATTTCATAAAGAAGCAATTGCTTATAGTTTATCTTCAATTATTGGACTTGAGGAGAGGGGATTGTGTATCCAGTTCATGTTTTGTCTAATTTATGTTTCTGTGGAAGAAGTGTTGGTTAAATTTAAAAGCCTGACAGTTTGGTCTCTGTTTTTCCTTTTATACTCCAAGTTGTACTAAAAACACCCACCTCCAAACTTGGTAGAGTCCCTGCTATCATTTTTATATTCAATTTTGGAGTTATGTAATGCAGTTTCTATGTGCAGAACAAAAAGTTTATGGTTTTTGTTTGAATGTATCACGTCTTCAACTTATAGTAATAGAATGCCGCACCTATGAACAGGTTACCAGGGTGTACAAAGAAAAAGAGCATGCTGAAGTTGAGTTCAGTGTGAGTTATTTCTCTTGTTATTTATAAATTGCTTGCAGGACCGAACAGAGTTTTTGTTTGTGTTTATATAAGGTTGACAAGTCAATTGCTTGGATTTTCTGACTTAATGTGGATGATCTTAGATTGGACCTATTCCTGTGAACGATGGGATAGGTAAAGAAATCATTACTCAAATTACAACAACAATGAATACCAACAAAACTTTCTATACTGATTCTAATGGGCGTGACTTCATTAAACGGGTATGTTGATTCTTACTGCTGGCCATTATAGCAAATTCTTGTCATGCAACTTTTATTTTTTCTTTTTAAATTCCAAAGCTATGCAGAATTCTTCAACTTTTAGCGTAAATTCTTTTTAGATATTTAAATTCACCTTTCAAAGTTTGCTGAATGGTAATCTGTTAGTTTCTTTTTTCTACTTGGTGAAGACTTGTATTCTTTTGTTCTATTAATTTACTGTTTCATTCACCAAATGAAATTCTAGTTCTATACTGTTGATAATAATGTTTACTTATGCTCCATGGTATTTAAATTTAATATTTCCAGGTTCGAGATTTTAGGAAAGACTGGGAACTTCAAGTGAACCAACCAATTGCTGGAAATTACTACCCAGTATGTTCCTGTGAGAATTGCAAATATTTCTTTCTCATAAATTGCAGCTGTATTTCAGCCATTCGATAGTATATAATTAATGATGGATATCTGCTCTGCTTGCTAAAGGCTGGTAAATGCATAAGGTTTTTGTGTTAAACTGAAATTTAATTTATTTACCCTTTCAAACTGCTTTCTTTCAGATTAATCTTGGAATCTACGTTCAAGACAATAGCACAGAGCTCTCAGTGTTGGTGGATCGTTCAGTAGGGGGGTCCAGCTTAGCTGATGGCCAAATTGAGCTTATGCTTCACAGGTCCTTTCCGTTCCTTTTTTCATTTTTACGCGTACTTATTTATTCATGACCTATAACGTATAATAATTTGTAGGAGGTTGATTCACGATGATATCAGAGGTGTTGGTGAAGTATTAAATGAAACAGTTTGTGTCCCAGAAGGATGTGATGGTTTAACTGTAAGCATAGCTTGTCATTATGTTCTTTGTCCAGGACTCTGAAAGTGCCAAGTGTAACCGAATTCTGGATTTTGCAGATTGTAGGGAAATTTTACCTCCGAATTGATCACATAGGAGAAGGGGCAAAGTGGCGTCGCACGGTTGGCCAAGAGATATTTTCTCCACTTCTTTTAGCTTTCTCTGAACAGGTGAAGTACAAACTTGATTTTCTGTGGTGTTGGCCCTCCATGCTTATGTTATTGATGTTCCTTTCCTATAGGATGGCAATGATTGGACGAGCTCTCATATTCCAACATTTTCAGGCATCGATCCCTCCTACTCATTACCAGATAACGTTGCCATAATAACTCTCCAGGTAAAGAACAAGTCAATATTCCAGGACCTAGAAATGGGATTTTTAATTTTTCGAGATTGCCTTGTGCTGGAAATTGTTTCAACTTGGGATGGTAAAGTTTTTCCCCCTGTTTTTAAAATTGTAGGAGATGGAAAATGGAAAAGTTCTCTTGCGACTGGCTCACTTATACGAGGTACTCCTTGTATATGTTGTTAATTGAAGCTTTATTATTATATGGTTTCATATACTCAACATGATAGAATATCATATTTGTTGATTTGATCAAAGACTGGGGAGGACAAGGACTATTCGGTGATGGCAAGTGTTGAACTGAAGAAGCTGTTCCCAAACAAGAAGGTAAGAGCAAAAGATATGGTTGATGACATTTATGTGCCATAAATTTGATCTTACTGTGGCGTTTCTTCACTTCAGATAAAGAAAGTGACGGAGATGAGTTTGTCTGCGAATCAAGAAAGAGGTGAAATGGAGAAGCGAAGGCTAGTTTGGAATGTTGAAGGCAGGTCTGGTGGAGAGGAATCAAAGGTGGTAAGGGGAGGAGCTGTTGATCCTGCTAAGCTGCTGGTTGAGCTTGCTCCAATGGAGATCCGAACTTTCCTTATTGATGTAGATTACATCCAAATGTTGGGTGGTTGAGGCTTGAAAGAGATACTAAAACACTGCTTTTGTATGTAGTATGTACTAGAAGTCTAGAAGTACTGAACGTGTAATGTTATTGTATTCACATAACGTGTAATGCTACTATGCACTAAAAAGGATAATAAATGAATAAATTATTTGTAAATCTGATTAAATATCTGTTAAACATTCTGAACTGATTTTTGGATTACTTTGGTGATCAATGTAACTTTTGGGATTCGATTGTAATATTTATGTTGGGTTTAGGGGTTACATCATGCGTCGTGGTTTATGATTCGTTGATTGTTCTGTCCAATTAGAAGATAGTTTTGGACTAAAATTGTTTAATAATGTGATTGAAAATGAATTCTGGTTTGTAATGAATAAACACAAATTCTAATGCTTATTGAATAAAATATTGATATATTTACATTGTCTAATATGTTCTCTATATTGCTTAATCATTGAACTTTTTAAAATTCATTTTGTTTGATTATTTAACCTTTTAAGCACCAGATGAATAAGTGTACTTAGTCGAGAGAGAGTATCAAGAGAGTCATAAATTTTAACGTAATGCATGTATATGTGACATGTTCATTTTAGCTATTAGATAAGGTATAATATCCTTGTATGATAATTTTCCTAATGTTCGATGCAACTTCTAATCACTAGCTAGTTGATAATGGTAACTATGATAAATTTGCTATGAATTATTTGTTGCATTTTCACCAATTTGGTATATTATAGTAATTCATGGAGAATTCATTATTAGCACTAAATAGGAAATGAATTTTAGCCTTGCAAAGGTGTTTGATATTGTTGAGGTTAGTTGTTGGTAATACAAGCTGTCTTGAGCGTGTACCTTATATTATTCAAATTTGTTCTCCCGAGATGAATTCTGAAAATAATTAACTCTCCACCCTCTGAGACCCTTAGACTAACCTCGGAGTTCTCGAGGAATTTGTATTCTCTGGACAAAAGCTTTCGAGTCAATTATAGTGTATATAGACAAAATCTCTGATAGACACACTTAATCTATTAGAACAAAATTTAAGATTTTATTACTATATTTATCTAGCCTGTTGACCTATGAATAGTTATAATAGTCCTATATATGGTGTTGTGAGCTAAAATCACTATAAATACCTCTCAACCATGACTGAACAAGAGTTCAACCCTCATAGAAAAAAAATTGATCAACAACTTTTCGTCGTCAACTACGGCTATCTACTTAAACCAGAAGGGGTGAATCACCAAAAATCTCGATTGTTCCATCAACAAAATTATTAATTTAAGATGTCATAAAAACAGCAGCTAAGTTGATTTATACCACATTTACTTAAGTCGGTTACTACACTAAAACAATGTTTTATGTACCAAAAACAGCAGCTAGGTGTGATGATCCGTTCCACTTTGTTACTATCGGTTATCACCCAAAAACTGTGGCAAAACAGTAGGTAGACAGAAACTGTTCATTGTCCGAACAGCAGCAGAAAACATACACTGTTTCGATAATCTTGTGCATAACAAAATGGTCAGGAAAAACAATAGATTGAGTGCACTAACTCGCTGTAACAAACCTGCCCTGTTTTGCCTTGCTAATGTTGAGTAAAGTACACCTGTAATTAGCCAAATTTGCAGCAAAACGGTAGTATAATAGGCTGCTCTGTTAGGGACTGTTCTGTCTAGTTTCAAGGCATAAAAGGAGCTGTGTTTTGGAGTACAAAAACAATAAATAGCTTCTGGAAACCAAATGAGTCGGCTGCCCTGGCTTTGTTTCATAATACAGCATCAATTACTCGAGTAAGCTCTTCAGCTGGATGAAGAGTGCTACATATAGAGGTATCCCTTACATTTTACATATATAGTGTTACATTATTAAACCAAAATTGTTATTATCTTTTCCAAATTGTAACTCCAAAGCTCTTAAATCAAATGAATCCATGAATTTTTCATCTCATCAATTGGCAGAACCACAGGGAAGCTCACTTTCAAAGAATGCTGAATGAAGTGACCTCACAGACTGCTCCGCTTCGTTGTCATTTACAACCAATGATATATTAACCTGAAAAAGTCAAACAGGACACAGACACCTCGATGAGACCAAACATCTAGTTTAACATAAATATGGACTACAAGTGACGGTCACCGACAATTCTTTCCTTTTTTATCTGGCACTAAATATGGCAAGTGTCAAATTTAGTAGTTGGCAATTTGGAGAGAAGAGAAACTAAAAACGAAAAAGGATTGTGTAGAAGAGACCTTGGATGCACCCTGAGAGATCATTTGGACATTGACTCCATTGATCCTAAGAACGTGAAATGCCTGTCGCAATATTCAACCATCAATTGAATTTGCAGTAAAGACAAATCCCATGCTTGCTTACTCTGAATCTAATAAAATCAAATTCAAAGATGATTTAAAAGTTCTCATCTTGTAGATGGTGCAGTACCTTCTCCAGTATAAGTGAGGATCTCTTGACATTTCCAATGAGAGAAATGATAGACCTGTGTTGAAGCAGATTGACAACAGCAATTTTCTCAAGTTCTTCTACAACATGGTCAAGTTCCTGTCAAGAGAAAATAGAGTGGATGATTCAGAATTCTTCAGATCAAGCATAAAATTTGTGATTAATTAAAGTATGAAGAATATTGCTTGCCTGCTGAATTAACTCTCTGCTCCAAAGTTTTGACGGATCCAAAGTCAGGGAAATACTGACTTCACTAGTAGCTACAACATCCACAGAGATGCCTAAATCTTCAAAGATAGAAAATACCTGCACAGATGAAAGAAAAAAAGATATGGGTCAATTGCACAACATAGAGATCCAGAAGCATTAAAATAAATAAAAGGCCTTCAAACCTTGGCAAGAAAGCCAAATTGACCAAGCATTCGTGTGCTGACAACATCCAACATGGTAACATTCTGTTTCAAAACAATGCTGATGAGTCCTGCCTGCAATTAGGAAAAGAATGATTAGACCAATTCAGATTTCATTAAAGAAAGCTACAATAACTTTTAGCTGTTACAAACCTTACTCATATCTCTACTCCTTGTGATGAGAGTTCCTGGAGCTTTAGGATTGTAAGAATTTTTAACCCTGACAGGAATATCACCCTCTCTAGCTGGTCTCATGGATTGTGGATGCAGAACCTGGAGTTGATGAATATCCAAATTCACTCAGTTAGTGATGCTTACATCAATTAAATGATAATTACACAACCTACAAGAATATATGTTAGGATTGAACCCCATCCCCTTCCCCAAAATTTTAATAATGAAAAGAAAAAAGAGACGAAAATATTGCCTGAGCACCACAGTAAGCCAGTTCGGCTGCTTCTTCAAATGTTAGGTATGGTACAGGTTCAGCACGTGGATATATGTTAGGATCACATGTCAAAACACCATCAACGTCTTTCCATACCTGCAATGAACCAAAAAATACTGGTGTACCTTAAAAAAGTTTGCATTATGCAGGAAACAGGTCCTGAATGTGCAAGTATAATTGTTTTTGTTACACCTTTTGGTGCATAGTTGATTTGCAGATTTAGAATTTAGATGTTTGTTGATTATGAAAAAGATGGCATCCATTCCAAGAAAAGATAATAGAAATGGAATCATCTTTATGCATCAGTAGCTTTATGATTTATACAAGCTCAGACCCTGAACAGATGCACTGACCTGAATTTCCCGAAACCCCAATGCTTTTCCGATGGTCGTGGCTGTCAAATCACTACCACCCCTACCTAAAGTAGTAATTGCACAAGATCTCCAGCCCTACAACAACATTAACAGTATGGAAAACAAAAGCATTATCAAATGAAATCGTTTCAGAAAAATATCAGCTGCTGTTCTACCTTTCCAAGGAAGCCAGTGACGATTGGGATTGCAGGATCACTATTCCAATCATTATTTAATCTTTTTGCAACAGCTGCGTAAGTTGCTTCCAGAATATCAGCATTTGTGAAGTCATCAGTGGTAATGAAACCAATTTCAAAGGCATCATACTGCAAAGCAAGGCATTAGCTTAAAAAATTCCACTCCTTGACAAGGAAATGTAGAGAATAAAACACTATTGATAGATGGAGATGGCAAGTATCCTAATCAATGCAGAGTTGAATTCTGAACCACCAAAAACAAAGAAAGTCAAGTTTTAGAGTAAGTGAAACATACTTGACGGGCCTTAACACCAATTTTATTCAAATAGGCAGCAAATATCCTAGTAGACATGCACTCCCCAAATGAGACCAAGTAGTCTCTTGTCCTTAATGTTAACTCTTTCATCATAGCAATTCCTTTTAAGAGCTGCTGCAATTCTTCTAGGTGCCCTACAAAAGGTTTTTCATGCAAGAAGGTAAGATAGAAACCAGAATTCCAAGCCTAAACTAAAATAAACCTAAGAGACGTCAAGGAAAAACTTAATGAAGAGGTTAGAGAGAAAGAAGCAGATAATTAACACACCATCAACAATCAAGCGATCCACTCCTAGCTCATCAGCTGTCCTGTGTATTAAAATTAAAAAGATATTACAAATTAATATTACAACTCTACATGTTTACTCCAACTACCAAAAAGCAAAAAGCTTGCTCTTGTTCTGACCTATGATGCAGATCTTTAATGAAGAGCAATTCTTCAATAGTATCTACCTTATTAACACCACAGCTGACAGCTTTTTCTCCAGCCTAATCATCAGATCAGAACCGACTTCTTAGCAAAAGCCTTGTAACTCTAGAGTCAAAGAAACTAAATGAATAGATAAATAATAGTAATAGTTACCAGCAAAAGCTTATTGGTTGTATTTGCCATGGCAGAAAGAACAATGACTGGGTTTTCAGCGGTGAAACTAAGTATAAGGTCGGCAACCTCTCTCATTCGACCAGCGGAAGCCACAGACGATCCACCGAACTTCATCACACACGTCAATTCATTCTTTGCTTCTCCCAAGGTTAATTTCTCTATCTCATTCCTTTCAATCACATCAACATTTCCTTCTTCGCAACTAACCTTAAAGACTCTACTTTTACAACAACGTCTTTGGAATAGGCTCCAACTTAATTTAGAATAATTTGGAGACGCAAAATGAAGCTGGTTCCAAAATGCTGCGTGGAGGTGTAAAGAAGTAAGCTTTGGAAATGAATGAGACGGCGGGGCTTTTACACCGGAAAAATGTGAAGAAGCGGCCATCATAGTTGTTTCGACGGGTAATAAACGGAATCCCAAAGATCTGATTACAAAATAGGAATCAGTTATGAAGAATCAAATCAAAATATTTATAAAGTTGAATGAAAACTGAAAAGTCGATCCTTTTAGAGGGGAATGGGTCAACAATGAAAGCAAAACGAACAGCGAAAAGCCGCCGCCTCCTTTAGCCTCAACAACAAAGTTGCGTTCTTCTTAATTATTTATTGGTCGTAAGGGAACCCCTTGATTTGGCTCTTCGTGCTCCCGCAAATAGATGGCCACGATCTGTTGGCCGTGGCGCATGGGGTTTTTCTTTAAAATAAGTAATAAAATATGTGGAAGTTGAAGTCGACGTGGACTTAATGTGTCGGATCGGCAGACTGACTGCCTCTCTTATTTTCTATTCTATGGCTGCCCTCTATTTGGACCACCGTCTCTCTTTTGACCAACCATTTTTTATATTAGAATAAAATACTTCTTCAATCATTCATTTATTTCATATATTTCTTTCGTGTCAACTAACTTCTAAAATTATCATTTTTACTGTAATCTTAAAGAGGTATAATACTAAAAAAAAGTTAATTCGAAAAAAAAATATGATTATTGTATCGAACGAAGTAAAATAAATATAAAATTAAAATAGAGGAACGTATTTGTTTACTCATATAGAATCCGATGAGCATAGTCAAATAAACATAAGAGTATTTTTTGGTTGAGGCATATATGAATAATTTTCTTAAGACATATTCGTCATCTCCTTGATTTTTTGAATAATATTAGATGTTGGTCTCTAAGGATACAATAACAAACGATCAAAGTAGTAAGCGCATTGATGAAGAGACATTATATAGTAGAGAGAACGATTTTGGAATGATTTTTTAAAATGTTCCTATTTTCTTAAATTGTCTCAACTAGCCTTTATAGTGGAGAGAAAATGAATTAAAAGATTAAGATCATTTGATGAAGATAATTGTTGAAAAGCTAATAGGTTTGATGGAATGGATACTTTAAACCAAAAATAAGTAATCACCAAGTGACATGTCTTGTTATAACTAACATTAATATCTTTCAATTAATTAATTGTTTTTCCAACAAAAACAAATACCCTTATTATTTGATTAAATAATCATTTGGACCTCTATTGTTTTAGCATTTTGGCTCATAACATTTTATTTTAGGACAAAAAACTATAATGTTTAACTAAATAGTCACTTAGACCCCTATTTTTTTTTTGGAGAATTTTAGCTCTAACATTTCATTTTAGGATAAAAGACTCCTATTTTGGACACCATTTGTTGACTAACGATTTCTATCTACGGATGGATCTTTTTGTCTAAAAATGAAATATCAGGCCGGTCAAAAAAAATTAGCGGACCCTTATTCACATATGTAATGGGATAAAGGAGAGGTAGGATAGTAGGCTGCCCCCAACGCCAGGTTGAGAGCAACTTTCGTGGGAGACCTTCGAATTATGAATTGCCCTCCGTGAGACTCGATCCTACGACCACAAGATTAAGAGTCTTGTGCTCTACCAACTGAGCTGGCCGGTCAAAATATTCTAAAAAAATAATATAGATCAAATTAACTATTTAATCAAATGTTATGATACTTTTTGATATTATATCTTTTAAAGAATGGGGATTGAAAATTTAGAAGTGTGACCATTTTTTGTAATTGGTGTATTATAGTTTCCAAAAGGTTTAGGGTTATCGGTAAATAAAAAGTAAAATGTTGTACTTTTGTCGTTGCTTGTTTTTGCCCAAGTATATGGTTGTATGAGTATGAAAGTGGAATATTGAACATGTTTTTTCTTTTGTCTTTTTTGCTTTTATTTTTGTTCAACAGTATAATTCATGCGATGCTAGAATAAAGTAACGAGTAAAATTACCAAATTGACTTGCTCATGTCTAATTAAGACAATGTGGGTTCCGAAATCCACTACCCAAAATTGTTGTTTTAGACCTCTTTAATGATTTGTATTGCTGTTCAATCACATGCCTTGTTGCTAACAGCTTGCCGCATAGACTACGACTTGATAGAGTTACGTATTGATCATTGATTAGTATCAGTAAGGGATATAAAATTATTTTTGAATGTACGCAAACATATTCTTGAAGAATATCTATAGATTAATACTCGATAAATTATTAATTTTATAAAATAATATTTTTTTGTGGTCCGAATTTGAGCTCAAAGTTTAAATTAATAATTTCATTAAATTAATAAGATAATAATTTTTCAGGAGATACTTATATAAATTTATGGTCATTCAATATTATAAATTAATAATTCTATAAAATTATATATATAACCGAGACAACTTAGTAAGATATAATTATATTGTTGTTTGCCTCTTCTTAAAATTTAAATATAGTTGTATTTAATCTTTAACTTTCCTTATTACATGAAAAAGTTTCGAAGTCCGCTTTTTGGGTACCCGAAATGTCATGTTACCGAAACTTTTGGGTCATAAAAACTTGGCCTGTGCCCCGGCTCGTAAGAGGCAGGTACTAGTAAAACTCAGATACCTTCATTTTCGAACCACGAGTACCCGAGTAATATTTATTTTATTTTATTTTTAATGTATATTTTTTAAAATTCACATAGAAAAAATATAAAATTTAAAACTTAAAAGTTTATAATACAAAATATAAGCATAGCAATACAAAAAATAAAATTATAAAATTACAACTAAATTTAAAATAATTTGAGGTTAAAAGAAATAATGTAAATATTAAGGTGAAATAATTAAAAAATAGAGGTTTAAAATATTATGGTTAAATAATTTTGAAATTAAAAATGAAAAATTTAATTTAAAATAAAATAGTAATAAAATATAAAAAAGGAACCGAGTTGCCGGGTAGGCGGGTACTTAGTTAAGGACAATTTTGTGACCCGGGCCTGACTGGAAGAAACGCTAAAAATTAAAGGTTGGGTAGCCGACCCTCAAAGTTGGGTATTTACCTCCAAAATACTCGGTAATTTTATATCGGGTTGATGGGTCGACGGGTCGGGTAGTTCAGGTCAAGTACTTTTGAACACCCCTAGCTATGAGTGTTTCATTCCGCATAATTGGTTGCAAAGGCATTGTATCATCTTCAGTTTCATTCTCAATAGGATTTTCAATAACACTAGTTACAATTTCTTCTAAACTTTGGACCTCTGAACATGTATAATTTTCGCCCGAGTAATTCAATAGGTGGTTGACATCCATTTTATTGTGTTATCCAAGGCTATTCATCATCATATCAAGTTCATGAATGACTTTTTCAATAGTTCATTCATTTAAATTCTTTGAGACTACTTCATCTTGTAAACAAATTTTACAGGAAAACAAATTGCTATTGTCTCTGGTTGAACATTTATCATCCAAGCTGAGACTGCAAGATTGATGACATCTAAAACATTAATCTTTTCTGGATCAGATTCTCCCAACTTGTAGCCCTATAATACCCTACGGTAAAGTCTTCTGCTGTAGTTGTTTCAAAGCCCTCTTGTCTCTTTGCTTTGTTTTCTTCTTTCAAGTTGTTTAATTGCAAGAGAATGATTAGCTTATAACATGTAAAGCAAGCCAATTTCATCCATATTAAAAATATCCTTCATAGGACACTGGTTTATTATTTCTCTTATAGCCACTAATTTGTTCTCTATGTCCTCTATGTCAACAGAACCACTCTCTCCAAAGCAACGAAATAACTTGATACCATGTCTTAGCTTAAACTTCTCAAGCCAACCTTGAAAAAAATTGTGCGACTCAAGAGGTTATTGAAGGTATAGAAGTTTCATCGTCTTTTTTACCTTCTTCAAAATTAGCTCTCCGGACATGTTTACACGTTTTTGGTATTGGAGAAACCACTCATAATTTTTTTTTCTCCATCTCTGGATATTTTACAGGTTTGTCTCTTGGTATCCCTCCTTTTTCAAAGTTAACTGAAAGGTACTCGGATGATCGCTTGAGTGTGTTTGATATTGTATCATGACTAACTTTCAAATGAATTTTTTTAGCAATTCACTGATGCAAATATTTTTGAGAGCATGTGGGGTGATATATCTTATACTCACATAGTGTTTTATGTATTTGATTTGTCATGATTGATTTTTGGACACCTTTTAGATGTGAAGTCATGGTTGGTTGATTTTGATTTGGATTGACTAATTAGGAATGTTTGATATTGTTTATATAGTGGTTGATTTCTTTACTATACATGATCTTGCATTAAGTTTTAACTACTGCTACGTACTACAATGAGCTTTGTTTTTTTAGGGATGTGTATTATATTTAATTAGCCACATTGTACATGAACATCATTCAATTAGTCAATACAATGTATATGTTTTATTTATGAAGAATAATGTAGGTTCGTTGAATCGGAAAAATATCTTTAAATTAATAAATTATTAATTTATAAATTAATTAATACACCTTTAAATTAATAAAATTATGTGGTTCCAACATTATTAATTTATAGAGGTTTTGTTATATTAACAACATAAAATTTATATATGAAGTGGGCATAAATAATATTTTAGGATGGGTACAATCAATAAAACAAATAACTAATTAAAGAAAATTCGATTTTAGGATGGACACATGCCACCCTAAGTAGAGCATACATTTGCCACTAATTAGCATTGTTGTGATGCATGGTTTAAATTAATGACTAACATATGATTTTATGTTAAGAAAACGAATTTATAAAATTTAAAAGATAAAAATCAATTATCAATAAAAAATATTTAAATTAAAATTTTAAATTTTTTAAAGGATAGACACTGCACTTTCACCTTTTATCCATCCTTGGTGAGGACTATATACAAGAGAGTCGACATGTTTTCTTTCATAAAATTTGTTCCACACTAAAAATTTTAAATTAATATTCTAGAAAATTTTTACGTGTCACCTTTTATCTGACATTATTTTTTAGGTGTCTAGATTATTACAATAATTAAATTTGACTATTAGGTAACACGTGCCCACCCTAAGTAGAGCATACATTTGCCACTAATTAGCATTGTTCTGATGCATGGTTTAAATTAATTACGAACATATGATTTTATGTTAAGAAAACGAATTTATAAAATTTAAAAGATAAAAATCAATTATCAATAAAAATATTTAAATTAAATTTTTAAATTTTTTAAAGGATAGACACTGCACTTACACCTTTTATCCATATGTGGTGAGGACTATATACAAGAGAGTTGACATGTTTTCTTTCATAAAATTTGTTCCACACTAAAATTTTTAAATTAATATTCTATAAAATTTTTACGTGCCACCTTTTATCTGACATTATTTTTTAGGTGTCTGGATTATTACAATAGTTAAATTTGACTATTAGGTAACACGTGCCCACCCTAAGTAGAGCATACATTTGCCACTAATTAGCATTGTTCTGATTCATGGTTTAAATTAATGACGAACATATGATTTTATGTTAAGAAAATGAATTTATAAAATTTTAAAAATAAAAAATCAATTAAAAAATATTTAAATTAAAATTTTAAATTTTTTAAAAGATACACACTGCCATTTCACCTTTTATCCATCCGTGGTGAGGACTATATACAAGAGAGTTGACATGTTTTCTTTCATAAAATTTGTTCCACACTAAAATTTAAGAAATCCTAATGTGAAAATAATAATAGAATCTAAATCACCTTTTATCTGACGTTATTTTTTTAGGTGTCTAGATTATTACGATAGTTAAATTTGATTATTAGGTGATACGTGACAATTTTATAGAATATTAATTTTTTTTAAAAAGCACTTTAATAAATTATTTTAAAAAAAACACATTTTTTCCTAAAATTATAAAAACACTCCAAAATTCTTTAAAAACCTTATTTTAATCTCTTTGTCAACGTTGACCGCCCGAAATTCCAACGGTATGAGACCGGCTGAACGTCGAATGGTCGAAATCCTTGCTTCAACCTTTAGTTGGAGCGACTAATCGACAATTGCAACTTAGAGAATCCCTTTTAGTCGATTGTGAAATCTTATTTTTTTCATGGCCATTGGGTGTTCGATCGATCATGAAAATAAGGGGTTGGGTGGTTGGCCTATCTAACAATGTTAGGTATTCGGTCGATTGAAGGCGTTGGTGGTAGTCGACGGTGCTAAAGGATTGAAATTAGGGTTTTTCGGGATTTTGAGATTTTTTTATAATTTTAGAAAATATTGGGGTTTTTTAAAATAAAATATAATTTTAAGTAATGTTTTAAATAAAATTTTATATGTCTGACATGTGTCATTTAATGGCAGTTATGGTCTAGATATCTAAAAATATAACATCAGAAATGTTAAGCACCTCAAGTTAGAAAACTTTAGACATAATTTTTTAACGAAAAATACTGTAACACCCTTAGCCCATACCCGACCCGGATACGAGTCCAGGATGTCACATTGACTAAACAAAACAATACTCTTAAAAAAACCGATAAAACATTTGAACATATATTATTAAAATACAATAATATACATATGTTAATACAAGTTTATCAAAATACTCAGAGCATACACAACTTAACATTCTATTACATGCCAACATTGATTTACATAAAAAAATGACATACTATTAAGTTGCTTCTGATCTGATAGTTGCAGGAGTAATGTTGTCCAGTTGCTTAACCTTGATCGTCTACTTTCTCGGATCCTACGTGTGAAACACTCACACGCTAAGTCATTGACTTAGTGAGGCAATATAATAATAATGATAACACAGAAATGTAATGGAAATGCCATAATTAAATGGAATGAGACGAAATCAAATGCTTAACCATGCAGTTTATATCACCATGTTCTTTACCTGTAAGCATAATATATTAACATTCATAAATTCATATTAATAAGATTATTGGCCCATGATACCATACTGAGAACCTAAGGTATGTGAGTACTGTGAGGTTGTGCACTATGATGTCACCACAGCTCGTATAAATGTACCGAAGTGCCACGTAGAATTGCACCGATGTGCAGCGTAGAATTGCACCGTAGTGCCATATAAGATTGTCCCTAAGGACTACGTAGAAAATTTCCTTAAGAATCATATACATATGCCAAGGATCAAGTATGTTCTTAAAAGACCTCACACATGTTCCAAAGAATACATATATGTCCCGAAGGACCGCGTAGACCCTCTACTCTTGGCATGCCAACTATACCTATAGTTCTCATCTACATAACATGGGCTTTCACCATTCCCATAATTTATATTGTATAGAAACATAATTTTCATACCTTTATCACATAAACATATCATGTTCCATCACTTTATCACATAACTTATATAACCTTTCCTGCATATTCATGTCACTTAATGCATATAATATGAATTCATGTCATGTATCATAATATGAAATGCGATCATGTATCAAAATATTGAATCTAGACTTATCACAAGTCTAGAACTGAATAGAATACTATATTCATGCTATGCATATGCACTCACCTATATTTCCTTGCTTTTTCCTCGATCGATCATACGAGGCAATTGTTCTGGAACTTGTTTAGGCTCGGTATCTACAGAGTAATTCATTGATGCTAGTCAGTATACTAATTAATGTATTCTAAACTATCATTTCTTGGGCTAAAAGAAAAGCCATTTTCATCTTTTAATGAAGGTATGCATCGATGCACCACACCATGCATCGATGCATAAACCCTATTCGATGTTTATATTTAAGGGGGTGCATCGATGCACTCCTTATGCATCGATGCACTGATGGCATTCGATGTTTGTATTTTAAAAGAGTGCATCGATGCACTTCATGTGCATCGATACACCTTGAACAATTTCTGGGATTTATTCTTAATGCATCGGTGCACATTGAATGTGCATCGACGCACATAGCCCATAAATGTCATTTTAAGCACGAAAATCTCTTTATAATCTTCTCTACACTTTATATTTCACCTCCTTTTATATCCCTAACTTGCATACACTTAGTTAAACTAATTATTATCCATTCGATACCTTTAAAACTTAGAAATCCAATTCTCCATATAAAATTTAAGAATTTCACTCAATTTCCAACATGTTCTAAATCAAATCTTTACACTTCATATCCTTTAATTAGCTTGATGACAAGTCAAATCCCACTTCTAATTCTTATTATGAACTCTAATCCAAGATTTTACTTTTCTACTTCCTTTCTTTAATCCTTCCTAACCCCATCATCTTATGGTTTTAAGATAACCTAAGCTTTCCTTAAGCTTAGTTATCATCTAATGATCAATAAGCAACCTTAAATTCATCAAGAATTTGATTAACAAGAAAACTCACCTTTAGCTTGGTCCCACAGAGAAGAAGAAGAATGAAGAAGAAGAGAAATCTGAAAACTTTGGTTCTCTCCAATAGCTTCCACGTGGAAATAAATATCACCAACTAAGATTTATTTATTTTCCTTGTTAAAAGACTTATTTACCCCTTTAATTCCTCATTCTTTGCTAATGGATCCTACAACAAACATATCAATCAATTCTTTAGACTTTTTAATTTATCCAATTAGATTACTGAATTTTTAAATCTCACAATTTAACCACTAACCCGGTGTGGAGGATATTACAAATACTTTAAACATTTAAAATTAACTTTGAATATACTTTGAACACTTATTTTTGTATTAATCATTTAAGAAATTCTGATGTGAATATAATAATAGGAATTACAATCCCAATCCCAATCAACTAACCAACCCGACGCTTGCCTGTCTTTCACGGTCTTGCTACTCATACATGAGTTTGTTGCCGGACATTAAAGAAAGAGCAAAATAAGAAAAGAAAGCCAAGTAAGAGAACACCATAGATATCATCATCCGATTGCAAAGCTTTCCCACATGGTTGCACACTGCCATCCAACCCATTTTGTCTTCCCCATATCTACTGATATAACCCACCGCCGTCGCCGCTGCACATCCAGATATCGCCAACCCCATAATTACCTGCAATTCAATAACACAAGTTGCTTCACTTCCACCAAAACCACATGTCAACCAACAATCCCATTACCATGTCATGCAGAAACACACAGAATTGATACTTCACATCTGATCCTAACCGGCTCAACCCGTAAACAAAGAGCACCGAAAGTACAGAGAAAGCGCATACAATAGAGTCCGTCACAAGTAAAAACCTGTACCAAAAATGGGGTTTTAAGTCTAATTAGTGACTCATCCATAAACGAAAGAAATTCTTGTTTGTTTACCTCAAAGCAGATGAGTCGCTGTAGTGAGCATTAATATTGAAACCAAGAAGAAGGATGGACTGGGAGCTTGTGGTCATAACACAGATTGCAGCCAATGTGAAAGCGGCAGCGAAAACCCTGAGCGTTATTTGAGCTATAAAGGAATTTCTTTTTGAGGATTTTGAGAGTGGAAACGCCATACATTTGGCTTGGAGCATAAGTGAAGCTTCAACAAGAAAGAAGAAGAGCCAGAGGAGAATGAGATTGCTAATTCATTCATAAATAAACTCAATAAGAGTTAGAAGGGTATCATGATTTTGGATACCTATTAAAGCCCCCGAATATATATTAGGATTAAATACCATTTGGACATTTGAATTATAACCGCAATGCAAAAATAAGTGACTAAAATATATTTAAAGTGAACTTTAGTTATTTAAATAATTTTCATTAAAAATAGGGGCGCTTATCAAGTGAGTTGGAAAGTGCTCAACTCATGCTCGTTAAAATTTTTTTTTTCTCGTTGCTCGTTAAGTTCATTGAAACTTTTACGTTATTTTCTTAACTATAGGTAAAATCTATTAATACTATATAGAGTTTAATATAAACAAAATTAATAAATCTAACAAAAAAAATATCAAAGAGTTTACGAAATAATTTCAAAGTCTAAACTCCAAAATTACAATCCACAAATACATTAAAATAGTAAATATGTTTTGATATTAGTTTTAAGATATCATCACCCTAGGTCTCGTATTGATATCTTATAAAGGTATCGATATCTTTTTCAGGTTCAAATTTTCTAAAATATAATATTTATTTTAAAATATTGATACCTTGTAATTTGATATCTATACTTAGTTTTGAGTATTGATACTCTGCCTATCAATACATTTTTCAACTTCAAAGTTTCTAAAATTCGATTAAATTGAAGAGGTAGTAAGTACCTTCAGCTCAAAATGTATAATTTGTGTAGATTTTACGATATTTTAAAACTCCTAAATACCTTTAAACACCTACTGCACAATGAAAAATATATATAGGCATTCAATTTTCATGTTCATATGCTTAAGAGAATGAACATCATACTTTAAGTTCCAAAACGCACGAGCATTCTTTGTCCTACTAAATCAATAAGTACATAATATATACATAAAATTAGTGTATAAGACATCAACTATAAGCACACTTGCCATTGTTTTATAACAATTTTTATTAATCTAAGATGATTACAAGTAGTATTTATTCTCAAGATTCTTAATCTTTTGACAATAAAAGTTCAAACACTTTTACGGTTTCTGGTGCTTGAATCTGGAACCTCTAGTTGTGTTTCCTTTAATCAAAATCAAAATTGACATAACAAAGCATAAAATTAATGATTTAATTTGGTATTAGTGGGGTGTTAATTAAGAAATAATGGTCTACATAGATTTAACATAAATGTATTTTCAAGTACTGACAGAGTAGCTATATCTGAATCTAAAACCTGCCATATGAGACACATCCACAAGCTGACTACAATTAGTAGATACCAACAAGTTCCACAACAAATACAATTAAGTCAAAATTGAAGAAGCCTCACTCTCATATCAGATACAACACACTGCTTCCTCAAACCAACACTTTTTTAAACACCATGCCAAACCCCAAAAACAAAATGTCCCAGTAGTACAGCCAATATCACATCATCCGTCATGTTTGCCGGTTTTCGGTTGTCAAATTGTTGCTACTGCTAGTTCCAACAGCTCGAATTGGTTCGCTCATCCTAGCTGCCAAAGCAAGAACTTCGGGTGACATTTCCCATCGACCACTTTTTCTACCCCAACTAGATCGCCAGGGATGTATACCCCCTGCATCATCTACTGTAGTTCTAATATCTAGAGATAATTCTCCTAATTCACCCTCCTTCACATTTACTCGGTCACTTGCGAGTTTCCCTTCACAATGATCGGTGCCGGCACCAATATCACCCCACACTGTCTTCCTACCCATTTCTATGTCATCCACGGTCTTCCCCATATTCGGACTCATAAAATCACCTGGTCGTGTTGGTAACACAGGTTCCCTGGGCACCTTTTCCCTGAAGTTGTTCCTGGATACTGGAATGCTGGAGCAAAATATCACCTTGAAGTTCTCAACCACTCCTTTGTTATAAGGGTTTGCTCTACGATCATATCGATATCTGAAATTCTCATATGTTGTCTGTGAAAGCATGACACAGTGTTACATTGATCTAAAACTGAACTACTGCACCAATATATTATCAGACTCTGCAACATTATTATGACAAGAGAAGGATGAGTGGCTTACTTGATTTGTACTGATCAGATACAAATGGAAGGCACTCAAGCCACCGACAAACCACATTGCGATGAAAGTGTAAACTATTAAAACAATGGAAGCTGGTGTTTCAATCATTGCTCTCCAAATTGTTGTCTCCTCTGTCTCCATGATCCTTCTAATGTAGACCCAACAGAATGCAAAAACGTATATACACAGAAGGGTTGTTGAGAAGACAAACATGAAGAAGAACCGATAATTTCGCTACAAACAAGAAAAAAACATGAGATGAGTAACAGTGCAAGAAAGTGGAAAGCAGGAAAACATCACATTTCACAGCAATTTCAATTTTCATCATTTGTAATATGAAAATTTTGCAGCCATAAACGAGTATACGCTAATTAAGTTCCTACAAGGACAGGAAGACCATGGTTTAGGCTTCATATCAATGCAGCCTAAAGAAAAAGGTGACATACCAGTCCAATACATTGCCCAACCCAAGGGCAGTGGTGATCAAATCTCTCTACACAGTTATTGCAGATTGAACAGTGTGAGCAGCGAGGAGGCCTATAAAGCATGCAAGTGTCACAATATTTGATCTTCACGGTGGTTCCATTGACCTCCACTTCTTTAATGCGTGACAATCGTAACTGTGGAGTTTGACCAGCCCCAACATCCGTGTTTCCATCAAAACTTTCAGGCTCTGGAGGGTTTGCATTGCGTGGAATTATACCAGGATCTCTTCCAGATGTTAGCAATAGAAGAACTAAATCCTGAAATAAGAAACAAGCACATGTATGAGCTTCAAGATCTGTCCTAGAGAAATCACATAAATTCTCCAAAACTCTAATAAATGCCTGACAAAATCTCTAAACACCATGGGGAATTTTTGTTTCGTACATGTAAGACACCACTTGGATCTTCCAAAACATTGTAGAATTGAAAATGGCACAATCTTATTTACTTTATATGCTAAAATTCCATGACACTCTTGTAATATTCATAAATGCAATCCTGATCGATACTGCAATCCCACTATTAATGCTATACTAAACAGCCATGAGAACACACAAACGGAGGAAAAGAGATCGAATAAGCTATGATCGATCATAGGAAATTACAAATTCAAGTCAATACTCAATACATCTAGCCAGCAACAAAAGGGACCAATCTTAAAAATGGTAAACACCATGAACTAACACTTGATGGGGAAAATGTTAAAAGGAAAGATAATTCCCCCAGAAATTCCTCCTCGCCATAATACCATACTCTTCATAACAAGTAATAAAAGTTTTCAAAAGATGTTAACTGATTCAAACATGAAAATGTAAAAGAGACTTACATAGAGAGTGAAGACAACAGCAACAATCATAATTGAAGTACCCAAATGATAAGAAAAGTTATCCATCAATTTCCTGGCAACAAACACACAGAAAATGGAGACTGGAACTACTATAAGTAAAATAGTCAGGCCTAATGATCTTACATCTGGCCCAAATATAAACCTCCCCTGAAATAAAAATATCTGCAAACAATGAAAAAAGTTTAATGCCTTGCAAAACTCCCGGACAAAAATATCGTCTTTTTAATTATTACTAGTAATGAAAATTACTATAAAAATAGGATAGAGAGAGGGAAATGAAGGATTTTGAAGGCTAAAAAGGGGAGAGAAAAAACAGGAAAAGCTTACATTGCTGCCTTTCCAAGATTGGTAAACCCGTAAATCACCCGACCCGCCGCCCATGAAACCCAGATCCGATCGCTGGGGAGGTGGCACCACAGACATCTCTCTCTTTTACTCGCTCTTTTCACTATGAGAATAACAAATAAAATATTTGGGATATAAAAAGGACGAAGGTTTTAAGCAGAGAAATGGAAAGCCATGGTCGTACTGAGTCAAGGTAGGGCGAGTTAACAGAGTAATAGTGAGTAATGGAGGGATCGGTGACAAGGCGTGAGCTTTTTCAAACAAAAAGTAGAGGAAAGGGGACAGTGGCTTGGGTTCATTTGTGGGGTTTTTTCTTCTTCTTCTTGAGTAGCATTGCATTACGATTAAATTTCTTTACCTAACAAATAGTTTCATTATTTTCCTTATCAGGAAACTTCATTCTTTAACAAATTTAAATACTGAATGAAGCTTGAATATCAAAAATCAATTTTGATTTCAACTGTTACTTGCTAATGCTACATGTACAATCTATAGACAAAGTTGACGAAGAATTGAATATCAGCAGCTAATGATACCCCTTTAACAGCTAAGGTTTCTTATTTAATATTTTCTTTAAATTATTTAATCAAAATTTTAATTCTAATTAATTTTAGGATAAAGCACACAAATAGTCCCCCAACTATAATATATTATTTTGTTGAATTCCTCAACTATTAAATATTACAAAATGATCACCAACCATTTGTGTACTTTACCATTAATTTAAAAAAGAAATTAAGTATTAGGTGTAATGCAAAGAATATTCAAATTTCATTCTTAGAAATGTAGACAATAAAATAAAAGTAAAAAAGAATAGATATATATTTGGCATAATACCAAAATTAGCCCCTAACATTTCAATTTAAGATAAAAAGACCCCCTTGACAAAATAATCACTTTGTCCTTTATTCTTTTTTTCTCAAGTATTTTAGACCTTACCGTTTTATTTTGAGTTTAAAAATACTCATATTTTGGAGCATTAATCGTGTGTTAACTAGTGGTTTTCATCTATATAGAGAACTTTTTGTCCTAAAGTAGAACTTTAGGGGCTAAAATGATAAAAAAAAATCAGGGGCAAATGAAAATTAATTGCTGCTTTGAGCTAGATATACAAATATTCCATGTTTGCAACTTTTCTTTGTACAAGTTTTAAAAGCAATAGAAAAAGAAGTAAGCCTTTACTCGTCCGATGCATCCAAAGCCTTTTCTGCAGTGTGTAGTCTTTTATGTCTCAAACTCTGACCCCACATCTTGGCCTCCGCAACAGCTCGTTCCCTGTCTAACAGCATGCTTGTTTCCTTGGGAGACTCGTTCATACTAACCCTTTTAGCAGCTTCATATGGATGCGAAGTCAAGTAATCAAGAGCAAGCACTATATCTCTGATACAGGGTCTGCAATTTGCGTTCTCTTGGATGCATAGCAAGGCCACCTCTACAGCCTTCTTCATCGTTGACTTGGAGAACTGACCTCTCAGCAATGGATCAGCTAAGTTCGAAATGTTCATTCCATCTCTTAACATCGGTCGTGCCTGCAAAATTTTCACAAGGTGAACCAAATCAATCTAATGGCTTCTTTCTATATCATGTCAAGTGAGTAAAACAGTTTTGAATGATCAAAGTATTACCCAATCAACAAGTAGTCGTTCTTCACGAGGACGGCTGTCATCGTGAGCTTTACGTCCAGTAATCAGCTCCAATAGGACTACACCAAAACTAAAGATGTCAGACTTCGTAGTCAATTTTCCACTGGTGAGGTACTCTGGGGCACAGTAACCATGGGTTCCCATGATCCTGGTGGAAACATAAGATTTATCCCCACTTGGACCGAATTTTGCAAGCCCGAAATCAGAGAGTTTGGGGATGAATCCTTCCCCTAAAAGTATGTTAGATGATTTTAAGTCTCTATATATAACAGGGGGGTTAGCTTCAGTGTGAAGATATTCCAGGCCTCTGGCTGCACCAGCAGCAATTGCCATTCTTGTGTTCCAATCCAAAGGTTTCTGATCAGGTGTAAGATCTGCAACAACAAAAAAAGCCATTGTTTATGTATTTAAATTTCTCAAAAGATGCAGAAACAAGGGTGTCATTTGTAGGAAAAGAAGGGAAAAAAAGGGTATTGAAACAAGAGGATGTGAAGATATTACAATGGAGGTGATCTTCCAAGGATCCCTGCTGCATGTATTCATATACAAGAAGGCGTTGATCGCCTTCGGCACAATAACCAATCAAACTGACAAGATTATGGTGACGCAAAAGAGAAAGCATGAGAACTTCCACAAGGAATTCCTTCTCCCCTTGAAGCCCTGTCTTATCGAGTTGCTTAACAGCTACAACCTGCTAATAACCATAGTGCATGTGATTAAGAAGGAAATATAGGGGGAAAAGTTGCAGGCAAAGAAGAATGTACCTGACCAGTACTTTCTAATTGTCCCTTGTAAACAGCCCCAAATCCACCTTGCCCTATCAAGGATTCTTTGCTGAAATTTCCTGTTGCACTTGCTAGTTGTTGATAGTTGAAAGTGTGAGCCCTGTTTCCCTCGTTAGGTTCATCAATTGCAGCAGGTGATTCCCTCCTTAAGCCTCCAATGCTTTTTGATCCTACTGAACCAACTCCTGTTTTTGTTAAGCCATATCATTCCACTATGATTAACATCAAATTTCATAAAATCTTTGAAACTATGGATCCAAAGAATCTTATTAACCAGTTTCCATCAAACATCTCCAATGAGTTTTAAAAGAAAGATTTAGTATAAGCAAACAACATCCATCTATCACAAACCCCAAAACTTCATCCCAACTAAACATTAAAATCTTAAACCCTTAAGTTCAGCAAATTGTATTCCATGGAAAAGCCTGACAAAAAACTGATATAACAAAGCAAATGGAATGAAGATCAAGGCAAAGAAAACATACCAGAAGACGATTGAGGCTTGCATTTTCTGCTATGTTCTTTCTTGTCATCACTCTTCAGTTTCTTGCCTTTGATCCAACCAAAACAAGGGCAATAACCCATTTGCTGCAGATCAATTAATCGAAAAGCTTTCACTTTGACTCTTACCTTTTCTTTCTTTAACTTCAGGAGAATAAAAAATGAAACATTTCACACAAAATGAACAGTTAAAAGAAAGAGTGATCTGCGTTTTGGCATTCCTTCCGCCGCGTTGGTTTCAAGAAAACAATAATCAAAGTAACAACATCAGCACCATTCCCAAGAATGCATCATCAAAATAGCATTAGAATCTTAAATTCTGTCTAATTCTTTGCACATCACGTCAATTTAGAGGGATGTTACTACAAATACACTTATGACAATAAATAATGAAATATTATAAACATGCTCTCATATTCCTTTTGGCCTTTGAGTCAATATTTTGTAATTTTAATAGTTGGGTGTATCAATAAAACAATATCATATAGTAAGAGGACCATTTGTATATTTTATAAAAAAAAAAACTCATTTAATGAGATAGGTTGGCCTAAATAACCAACCAATCAGTAGTAATTTAGAGGTAACTTACAAGGAAGGAATGAAGAAATTTATTTATGATTTAATTTTGTTTAATTCTTTCCTTATTTGATTAAGACTGATTCCCCATTATTCTTCTTATGTTTTTTTTATGTATAGATGAATGAATGAATAGACATGATTGATAAAATACTAAATTTCATTTGTTTAAATGAAAAGTAGAACACGAGCTAAGCGATTTCGGAAAACAGAAAAAATAAGAAAAATATTTGTATATATGAATGAATAAACCGAGTTCAGAATGAGAAGAAAAAGAAGTTGAGAAAGATGGAAGATTACCTCCATTGAAGCCACCTCTACCGCTTATAGGAGTTAGAAAGAGGTGTTATAAATAGAGAGCATGGAGAAGGAATTTAGGGAAAGCAGAAAAGCATAAAGGAAAAGGAGATGCCATTGCCAATATGCTTCTAAAAGATTTCTTTCCTTTTACAACAGGCTCTGATTTGAGTTGTAGATGCGTTTAGGAAAAGCTTTATTCCCTTCCCTTTTCCTTTTCCAACATGTTCAGCTTAAAAAGAGAATATTTATAATCCCAGCTGGACACACACATCGTCACAACCTTGAAGCTGCTTAGGGCAGAAAACCTTGAAGATGTAGAATAAAAAAGCACTAGATCCTGGCCACTTTCGAGGGGTATCGGGTTATGTTACACAAGATGACCGCTTTTAACCGTTCAAGAAACTCTCATGTACAACGCTCGTCTCAGGTTGCACGATAACCACGGCATGGCCGCAATCAGAATAAAAGAATTACTCCAAGAGCTTGGACTACAACATGTTGCCAATGTTAGAATTGGTGACGAATCAAATCGTGGGATTTCAAGTGGGGAGAAACGTTCGATCTAGTTCATGACCCGACTGTTCTTTTGCTTGATGAACCGGCATCAGGACTAGAGTTGGCGTCTGTCCTTCATGTAGCACCGTTGCTAAAATCTATGGCTACGAAACAAGGCAAGACAATTGTTGTAACAGTCTATCAACATGGTTTCCGAATTATGGAGTTGTTTTTAAAATCATACATAATATGTTTTGATTTTATTTTTGTCACCCATTGTTAAAAATTAAAAGAACTATCAATGTGGCATTTTTTTATTTTTTTTCCAATGATAATGTGATATTACCTTATGGTGATACATCAATAGTTCTATTAATTTTTTTATAGAAGATGACCAAAATAAAACAAAAACTAAATGTTATGTATGATTTTTTTGAAAAAATATTTATGTGACTAAAATAGAACAAAAGTGATAGTTGGGGTCATAAATGTGTAGTTTACCCTTATAATTTGTATGAGAATGTTCTATTTTAAAATAGATATTTATCTATAGAATATGATTTGAGTTAAAATGGATTTATATATTTAAAAGAATTAATTGTATAATATGTCCTCAAAATATGACTTTTATTTTAAATTGGTCCCTATATTTTTAAGTATTTTAATTTCATCCCTAAACTATGACTATCATTCTAAATTAGCCCTTAAACTTTTGAATATTTCAATTTCATCCCCAAACTATGACATTAATTCTAAATTGGCCCTCAAACTTTTTGCACATTCCAATTTTATCCTAAACTATATAAAGGCATAAGGTTTAGTAACCAAATTATGTATTGTGATTAAAATTCTCTAATGGTTATAGAATTAAAATTGTTTATTCTAACTGGGTGGACTATGTAGAAGTTGAGACGCTTTCGTATTAATTTGTAATCAACATTGTGTGAACGTGATAGGATTTACAATATACTGCTATAGTTTCGAATTGTGATTTTTCAACTATAAATAGATTTTCCCTCACTTTATTCGTTCATTCACTTTTGAGGAATAAAACCTATCATTCACTCCATTCTTTTTTTGTGTGGTATTTTCCTTCCTTTATTTTTGTTTCTGCGTTAATCTAATTACTTTCATTTAAATTTCAAGGTTGATTTAAGTGCTTAAATTAATCGAGAAACATCTAAGACCGTATGAACCGCTAAAGAGATTCTAACCTTGAACTAGTATGGAAGAGAGATGGAACCCCAAAATCAATGTGAAGTTTTAATATTTGAGGGAATTGAGACCCGTGTTTTGAAGAAGATTCCCAGCTTAAAGGAAGCCATTGCATTCTTGGAGAAGAGGATTACCAAGCTTGAGGAATTCGAGGAGGAGACCAAGGATACCCACGATATTGTGGATTCACGCCTTGATGAGTTAAAGTCCAAGGTAAATGAAATCAAGGATGAGATGCAAGGACTTAACAATGAGATGGATAAGAAGATGAACCAACGAGACGATGCTATTAAAATCATGGTAACAAGTCTAAAGAAAGAGCTCGAGGAGATCAAGGGTGAACTATTCTTGTACAAGGTCGCTATGAGTAATGGCATGTTGATTGGGTCATCCAAAAGCCGAGTCGATGTTCCTAAGCCAGAGAAGTTTAAGGAGACGAGGCCGACACAAGAAGTAGAGAATTTTCTTTGGGGCATGGAGCAGTACTTTCGAGCTATGTGTTGAAAATCAATGAAAGGAAAATGGTGGCTAACAAAATTGTTGAAAAGTCATGGAAAGGAAAACGGTGGCCAACAAATGTTGATAATTGAACTAATTTTTTGGTTGTTTTCGGTGGTGCTTTAAATGCATCGAAATATTGGAAATTAAATAGCAGGTTTTGTTGACATTTGGTAAAGGGATAATTACCAAATTGGTTTATATTTTAGGGTATTTACAAGATTAATCCCTAAGCTTCAACTATAAATAGCCTAGCTCATTTAGCTTCAAAATCATCCCAAAAATCATTTCTTTCTCCCAATACTAGAGAGCTTTCTTGTGAGTAGTGAGTGTTTTGTAAACACATGTAAATTTTTTCTCTTAGTAAAAGATCTACAGCAGTCCGGAGACGTAAGCAAATTGGTTGAACTCCGTTATCAATTTCGGGTATTATTTTTCCGCTTTTATTTCGCATTCTCACAAATCTGGTTATAGGAAAATTACTTGTTTACTCGGTTATTTCCCAACAACTGGTAATCAGAGATTTTTGTTGTGAATTTTGTCAATTTTTTACGAGGTTACTATTCACGTGATTAGTGAATTTCGTGAATAGTGAAATTTTGTCGGCGATACAAATTTATCGATGGATGTGTTTTAATACACGGTAGTTTGCAAGAATTGTCAGAAACGATCCAAACGAAGCCAGATTCGAGTGGGAGCGATGGCTGTAGACGAAGGGAATGTGAAAATTGAAAAGTTTGATGGTGCGGACTTTGGCTTTTGGAAGATGCAGATTGAAGATTTTCTGTACCAGAAAAATCTATATCAACCCCTCTCAGGAAAGCAACCAGAGGGCATGAAGAATGAAGACTGAGCTCTTCTCGACAGACAAGCCCTCGGAGTTATCCGACTGACGTTATCCCGCAATGTTGCTTTCAACATAGCAAAGGAAAAGACCACGACAGGTCTTATGGCGGCTCTCTCAGTATGTATGAGAAGCTATCGGCCTCAAACAAAGTTCACTTGATGAGGCGATTATTCAATTTGCGGATGGCGGAAGGGGTATCGGTGGCTCAACATCTAAATGAACTCAACACAATCACAACCCAGTTGAGTTCCGTAGAAATTGAATTCGATGATAAAGTTCGAGCTTTAATTCTCTTATCATTTTTACCAGACAGTTGGAATGCTACTGTTACAGCAGTTAGCAGCTCGTCAGGAAATAGTAAATTGAAATTCGACGATGTTTGAGATCTGGTACTGAGCGAAGAAATTCGACGAAGAGAATCGGGTGAAACATCAACCTCCTCAGCCTTGCACACGGAGTCCAGAGGGAGAACTTCAGAAAGAAATTCAAATCATGGCAGATCCAAATCCAGAATGGGAAAATCAAGAATGGGAAAGAAAGATTTTACCTATTATAACTGCGGCAAGAAGGGTCATTTTAAAAAAGATTGCCGAGCACCGAAGAAAAATACCGGCGCACATGAATCTGCCAACGTGACAGAGGAGACAGGTGATGCCATGATTCTAAGTGTCAACAGTCCGATTGAATCATGGATCTTGGATTCAGGGGCATGTTTCCACTCCACCCCATGCCGAGAAATCATGGAGAACTATGTTAGTGGTGATTTTGGGAGTGTTCATCTAGCTGATGATGAAACCTTGAAGATCGTCGAAAAAGGAGACATCCGATTAAAGTTGCCAAACCAGACCACCTGGACGCTGAAAGGAGTGAGACATATTTCTGGCCTCAAAAGAAATTTGATTTTTATAGGACAGCTTGATGGAGAAGGATATAACACAACATTTTCAGGCTGTGAATGGAAGATTACCAAAGGAGCACTCATCATTGCTTGTGGTAAGAAAATTGGTACTCTCTATATAACCTCAAATTTAGAGAATATCATTGTAATAACATATGCTGATGGAAAATCAAACCTATGGCACCAAAGGCTTGGCCATAAGAGCGAGAAAGGGATGAAGACACTTTTATCAAAAGGGAAGATATCGGATCTAAAGAGTGTAGATGTCGGACTATGCGAGGATTGCATCTTTGGCAAACAAAAGAAAGTCAGCTTTGCAAAGATTGGTAAGACATATAACATCCTCAATACCGGGT